TAATATAATATAATATAATATAATATAATATAATATAATATAATATAATATAATATAATATAAAGGTATAGAAATAAACAAATGCAATACACAAAAAGATATAATGAGTTAATAGAAACGAACAAAGACAGTAAATGAAGATATCCAGAAAATTAACATAAACAAACAAACACACTAAATAAATAAATATAAACAAACAAATACAATAAATAAAAGATATAACAAAGGCATACAAACAAACAAATACAATAAATAAAAAGATATAATTGATGAATGTAAACAAACAAATGCAATAAAAAGTAACAGCCATACACAAACGAAGGTAATAAACAAACAAAGGCAATAAACAAACAACAGCAATAAGAAAACAAATCAAAAGAATAAAGACAACGAACAAACATAAATAAACATCATCACTGCAACACGGAGACCAACCAATCCTCATCGTCTCCATTTACACACTGCAGCAGCAGCAGCAGCAGCAGCAGCAGCAGGCGAAGCAGCAGCAGCAGCAGCGGGATCAGCAGCACCACCACCATCTCCACGAAGAATAACGCTCGCACTGCATCATGAACTTACCAGTTGCAACAGCAGCAGAAACAGCAGCAGCAGCAGCAGCAGCATCGGTAATAGCAGCATGCAGCAGCAGCAGCAGCAGCAGCAGCAGTGAGTGGGCTTGCCTGTAGCAGTTTTTCAGGTTGTTGCGAGGGTGAGATAGCTGCGAGTGTTTGTAAGAGTTGTTGTTCTTCGTCTGTGTCTGTCTCTGCATATTTGCTGCACCAGTCTTTAATAGCTTTAAGTGTCTCCTTTCCTAAGTCTGCAGGAGGGGGCCCCTGAATCTTTAGTTTAATTTTCTTGCTTTGTTTGTCTATCATACACCAACCCAATTTTAAGGCATTTCCCAACCCCACATCTGCTGAAGCCCCGAACTGTTCCTTCAGAGCCTTCATATCATATCCTTCTTCCTGATGCATATACACCCCACACACATCATGCTGCTTCTGCTGCTGTTGCTGCTGTTCCTGCTGCTGCTGTTGCTGCTGCTGCTGCTGCTGCTACGGCTGTGCACATTTGCATTCGGCTGAGGAGTGGGTTGCTGCATATGGGTTTTGCGTGTATTGTTTTAACAAGACTAGGGTTTAGGGTTTAGGGTTTAGGGTTTAGGGTTTACGTTTGGGTGTTGATAGAGCCAGTTGGCGAGGTTTGCTTCTGGTGTTCCTGCTGCTGCATATTCTTCACCTTCAGGAGTCAACGCCCACAGCGTTTTCTCTTTCAGAGATAAACAAACATATTCAAGAGACTGAAGGGCTCTGCATAGACCTGTTATCTTTATATGAGGCGCCCACTCAGGGTTTATTTTACATAAACTTAACGTCGTTGGGTTAATACCCTCAGCATATAAACCCTCCAGACACCGCAACAAAGATAGCAAAGCCCCCTCCTCACTCATCCTTACTGCCTATACCCGCCACCTCTAAAGCACTAATTAGGGTTTAGGGTTTAGGGTTTAGGGTTTAGGGTTTAGGGTTTAAGGGAACGTGGGTCCCAGAGTATACACTGCGACAAGAGAAAATATTCAGCTGATCTGCTCAAGCAAGGAGGTAATAAAATACCCAAAAAAATCATTTAGGGTTTAGGGTTTTGGTGTTAGGGTTTAGGGTTTAGGGTTTAGGGTTTAGGGTTTGCCTTCCTTGGGCTAGAAGAGCCCCGGTGGGGCCCCCAGTGGGGCCCCAGAGTAATAGTTTTAGTTATGTCTGTATTTGTTTGTTTGTGTTTTTGTTTTAGTATTTCTGTTCGCTTTGCTTTTATAAATAAATCCCTTTGAATAATTATTTATTTCTTCTTCCCGTTCCTAGGGTTTAGGGTTTAGGGTTTAGGGTTTAGGGTTTAGGGTTTAAGGAGATGGTGCGATCGGTGTTATTTGTTTGCCTTGGTAATGTTAACCGTTCTCCTACTGCAGAATATATTTTTCGTAGCAAACTTAACATAAACTCTAGAGGCCCTCAAGGTTTTAGAGTTGCTTCAGCAGCAACTGGTGGACATACAGAGGGCGACCCTGCAATGCGAGAGATGGTCGCAGCAGCAAAGAAAAGGGGGGTAGATCTAACCCCACATAGAGCTAGACAAGTTCGAGCGTCAGGCAAGAAACGCTTAGGGTTTAGGGTTTAGGGTTTAGGGTTTCGGGGTTTGGGCTTAGGGTTTAGCGCTTAGGGTTTAGGGTTTAGTGTTTAGGGGTTTGGGTTTAGGGTTTAGGGGTTTGGGCTTAGGGTTTAGGGTTTAGGGTTTAGGGTTTACGGTTTACGGTTTTGGGTTTAGGGTTTAGGGGTTTGGGTTTAGGGTTTAGGGTTTAGGGTTTAGGGTTTGGTACACTTGGGGGGTGTATATGCAGTGGGGTTTGAATCGATATGAAGGGTTTCTTATGTTTATATCCAAGGGTTTGTGGTTTGTGTGAGGGAATCAATACGAAAGTATAGAGATCAGGGAAGACAGGGACCAAGGGTTTAGGGTTTAGGGTTTAGGGTTTAGGGTTTAGGGTTTAGGGTTTGTGTGCAGATTTTGAAGATTTCGATATCGTAGTAGCTATGGATAAATCAAACCTCAGAAACCTTTCAGCTGTTTGTCCCAATCACCAAAAACATAAATTAAAGTTACTTCTAAGAGACTACGCCCCAGGATGCGGCACAGAAGAAGTGCCCGACCCGTACTCAAAACCCTAAACCCTAATAAACCCTAATAAACCCTAATAAACCCTAATAAACCCTTTCAGGGCATGTGGGCCCCCCACTCTGCCCGAATTAGATCTGCACGCTGGGGAATGTAGCATTGGGGTGTACGTACACTATATAAAGGTGTATTGTATAAGGGGTTTTCTAGGGTTTAGGGTTTAGGGTTTGCGGTGGTTTGTGTTGCTGCAGGTACTACGAAGGCGGACATCTTAGCGTCTTTGATTTAATTGAGAAGGGTGTTGAAGGCCTCATTAAAAAAGAAAATATATCTGTCTAGACTTGCTGAAGATACACCTAACGAGGGAGAGACAAAAAGCTACTGTCTCCTACATAACGAATAAACCCTAAACCCTAAACCCTAAACCCTCGCTCCATCAAACCCTCGCAAACCTTTTCACTTGTCTAGCCCTAAACCTCGATCAAACAAACCCTGGCTTTTTAAAAGAAAACCTAAGAAACCCCCAAACCCCCGCTTTGTCTAAACCCTAAAGCCTAAACCCTAAACCCTCATCCCTAAACCCTCAAGGCAGATGTCAAGTGGTTGTTTAGGGTTAAACCCTTACTATCTCCAGTGTACATACACTGCACTGCTGCACAGCACGAAGGCTGTGCCCGGAGGCTTGTGGCTCTGAAGAGCCTTAAACCCTAAACCCTAAACCCTAATGGGGATAATGCGGGGCAATCCCAAAGGTGTACATACACTTCAGATAGCCTCTAAAGGTATTCAGTTACGCCCCTCTGGGGTGTACGTACAGCGCATGCATGCGCTCGCGGAGGCCCCTAGAAAGAGTCCTTCTGCTGCACCGCTCAACCAAACCCAAAGCCCCAAATCTAAAAATAAACTATACAAGTACTCCCAGGATGCATGCATGCATGCATGCATGCATGCATGCAGCTCAGGAGTCTGCGGTTTTGTTAAGTTTGTGAGGGAAGAAGAGCCCCAAGTCGGTCTTGGTGGGGCCCGCAGACCCCAGGGCCTCCGACAGCATCACAGACTCCTCACAGAAGCGGTAGTTTACCTAAACCACAAACCCTAAACCCTAAACCCTAGCTGTTCCATCCCCAACCCTCCCGTTGGCTGCTGCGCCCGCACACTAAACCCTAAACCCTAAACACAAACCTCCTCTTGATAGTCTAGGCAATAGACAACCAAAAATGCTTGCTTCAGTCAAACACAAAACATAAATACACACCTAAACATTAAACCCTAAACCCTAAACCCTAAACCCTCTGCTTACCGTCATCATGTACCAAATAGGAAGGGCAGTGACTGCAATGCTGAAGAGGTTCCAATAGTAAACCCTCGCCTTGTCTGCCTCCAGCATGTTAGGCTGCAGAAGGCCCCACACACCCACCAAACCCTAAACCCTAAACCCTAAACCACTGCAACGGGCTCTATGCTCCCCTCCCTTGCTGCATATCCCAAGCACAGGGCCTCCCCTACTGTCTACCTTGCTGCTGTTTTCTTTACTCTCTCTCTGCTGCTGCAGCCTTTCTCTGAGCCTCCAGTCTGGGAATTAGCTGTCCAAGGGTTTAGGGTTTAGGGTTTAGGGTTTAGGGTGGGAGGTTCCTACCCGCCTGAAGAAGCGATCCCTGGTGAACTGCGGCAGCGGCAGCTGCAGCCGCGCTGCCCTTGAAAGGAACAACATATCAGCAGAAGAAGCAGCAGCAGGAGCAGCAGGAGCAGCAAGAGGAGCAGCAGCAGCAGCAGAAGCAGGAGGAACCCTGAGCAGCGCAGCTTGCTGCTGCTGAGCCGCAGCTGCTGTTATGTTGTTGCTTCTCTTTACCTCCCCTATTTAGGGGTGTCTCTAGAGAATAAATAAGAAGATTTATTGCTTTATAATGTGTAATTAAAAGATATTAAACGCGAAAACAACAATATCTTATACTTCAACATGGGGCTGGTAGCTGCTGAGGGCTGAGCTCCCCTATGCCTGCAGATCCAGGCGGGGGGCGTTCATTTGTTCGTTTCTAGTTAGTTTTTCTTACTTTTCTTTTTGTTTTTCTGTTTAATAAATCTAAAACAGCATATTTGTGCTGCTTCTGCACTTAAACAACTCAAAAACAAACCCGCAGCAGCCTTGGCTGTGGGAGCCGCAGCAGCAGCAACGCCTGCTGCAGCAGGAGCAGCAGCAGCAGCAGCAGCAAGAGCAGCAGCAGTAGCTGCTGCTGCTGATCCAAGGATTTTGCTGGCTTCATTCAGAGGTTTAAAGGGGAGAGAAGCAGAATACTGGTGGCTTGCTTCGCTTGCCTGCTAGCGCCCTCTCTCTCGGGGGTTTAGGGTTTAGGGTTTAGGGTTTATAAGTTGTGCTCGCCGGGCGCAGCAAGGTGAGCGCTTTGCTTTTGTTGCGCAACACTGCAGCAGCAGCACTTCTGCTTTTTTTGTATTAAGCGAATACCCCTCCAGTGCTGTTCATGCTGCTGCCTCCTCTAGCCGCCTAGAGGCGGCGTTGTTCTCCTAGAGAGGCCTTAAAGCGACCCTAAGCTGCAGCAGCAGCAGCAGCAGTAGCAGAAGCAGCAGCAGCAGCAGAAGCAGCAGCATCTTGCGTTTAGCGGGCAGCTGTCTCCTCGTGCTGCAGATGAGGAGACAACCGCAGCGAGCCGCTAAGGCGGCCCTGTGCTGTCTGCTCCTCTTTGGGTTTTTGTGTCTCCTTTGCTCTGTTGTTAGAGTTGCTGCTGCAAGCTCCCCCGCACCGGCAGCAGCAGCAGCAGCTGCTGCTGCAGACGCAGCAGCAGACGCAGACGCAGACGCAGCACTTGGAGGGAAGAGCCCAGCAGCAGAAGACGCAGATGAAGCAGCAGATGATATCGATGCAGCGTTATCAGAGGAACTCGTTGCAGCAGCAGCAGCAGATACAGCAGCAGATGCAGCAGCAGATGCAGCAGCTCCAGAAGATATTGAAAAGCTAGAGAAGCTTCTTAGAGATGCAGGAGCACCAGAGGGGGAGACAGACGCAGACGCGAAGCCACAAGACGGGGAGACAGGTGCAGATGGAGGAGCTGTTGTTGACTTACAGCAGACTGTTAAGGCTGGCAATCAGCCTCGCCGCCTGATGTAAGCATTGCTTGACCTCTAAACCCTAAACCCTAAACCCTAAACCCTTTTATAGGGCCGAAGGCGGTTTGTTGTGTATGGGCTTTATTAGCTTAATTGAGGGGGAGAGGGTGTGGGGTTTGTTTGTCTTGGTGTGGTTTTCATTGCTTATCCTTTTCTTCTCATCTTATGTATGGTTTCTGCTGCTGCTGCTGTTGCTGCTGCTGCTGCTGCTGCTGCTGTCTCCAGGGCTGCAGTAGGAGCGGGTATGATACTGCTGGCAGGGGTTGCGCTTGTTCACGAGCATGCAGACTCTATATGGCGGGCGATGCGGACAGTTACAAACAACATGAAATGTATGTCACGAATAACCCTTACGTATCTAGCTAGCTAGCTAACTAGCTAGCTAGCTAGATAGCTAGCTAGCTAGCTGGCTAGCTAGCTGCCTCCCCACTCCAGCTAGTTAGCTCGTTAGCTAGCTAACTAGATGCTTCCCTTTAGACGAACTATTCACACGCTGCAGAGGTGCAGGCAGGTAGCTAGCTGGCTAGCTACCTCTGCGGGTAGCTGTGTGGATAGCTATTACAAAGGGCTCAGCATAAGAGAAAGTATAGCAATGCATATTAAGACGAGAAGGGTGTAGATATCTGTATATCTGTATATTTGTGTATCTGTTGATTGTGGTTTGCGGTGTATCTACTCTCCGAGTCCGTCTATAGAAATGGAGATAAGAAATGAAGTATATAATATTATTAGGCTATACATATATATATATATATCTTCATGTATGTTTCTGCTGTGCTGCTGCTGCTGTTTCTGCTGCTGCTGTTTCTGCTGCTGCTGTTTCTGCTGCTGCTGTTTCTGTTGCTGCTGTTTCTGCTGCTGCTGTTTCTGCTGTTGCTGCTCAGATAAGCCTTGGTCTTGGACATGGTTTGTATGGAGGCTGCCGAAAGTAGATGAGCGAGATTTCCCCGAGTTTCAAGTAGTTGCTGATGGTTTAGCGGGGTTAACAGGGAGTCCGCCAGGGTCGCCTGCGCATATACCGGGTGTAGGGGGCCCTCGAAGGAGAACATATGTAAATATAGTTGAGTGTCCTAGGCCAGAGCTCTCAGACTTCTTAAAGTTAAATGAAAAACAAAGAGAAGAAGGCATTGTTATTAAAGGAAGGAGTTATAGGCCCGAGTTTGGACGCGAACAGACAGCCTGGGAGGTGTATGCTATGACGCACTGGGTACCTAAACATCCTTTGTTTTTTTCGTTGCATTCTGCTTATAGATCGGTATTTACACAAAATATCTATTTAATATTACCTCGAGCTTGCTGCGACTTATCTCAGTATTATAGAGATGCCCCGAAGAGTTTAAACGTGCGTTATGCTGCAGCAGAGATGGTTGCTGCTTTAGTAGAGCTGCATAATCAGGGTTTTTTACATAGAGATATTAAACCACCCAATTACTTCGTCTCTCCTGACGGACATGTGCTTCTAGCTGACTTTGAAATGCTTTGGCCAAGGAATCAGCCGTGCCCGCAAGAAGAAGCAACTCATACTAGAGGCTTCACAGCGCCTGAGCTAAGAAGGTTTGGGAGTTATGTTCCCTTTACAGAGAAGTCCGATGTCTATGCTCTGGGTATGGGCTTATCTCGTATTGTTGTGAGAGTAAGAAAGTATCAAGATATACCGGATGAAGCAAAGCTAGTTAATCTTATATTGAAGATGGTGACGAACGATGTAGGCCAGAGAGCTTCTCTACAAGATGTTGTTAATGACCCCTACTTTGACGGAATAGATTGGGGTGTAATAGCAAGAGGTGAAGGGCCCCCTCCTTGTCCTTTAGCTAGACAGGTTATGGATAGATTTGCTGCAGCAAGGAAGAAGCTCGCTGAGCAGCAAAAACAGCATCAGCAGCAAACCACCAGCAATCCACACAACACACAAAAGCAACCCCCCGAAGCAGAAGCAGAAGCACAGAAAAAACCTCCGCGACCATCGAAGAAAGCTAAAAACCTACGCCGCCTGCAGCAGCAGCAGCAGCAGCAGCAGCAGCAAAAACCACAGGGAGCCCAAGAGGAGGAACAGCTCCGCCTCATGCAGAGACTCCACGAGCAGCAGCAGCTGCAACAACAAATGCAGCAACAGCAGCAGCAGCAGCAGCAGCAGCAGCAGCAAGAACTAAGCCAGCAAGGGCAGCAACAGCAAGGACAACAGCAGCAAGAACTAACCCAGCAGCAAGAACAGCGGCAGCAGGAAAAGGAAAAGGGACAGGCACAAGCGCCTTCACAGCAGCAGCAGCCGCAGCAACAGGAACAGCAGCCGCAGCAGCAGGAACAGCAGCCGCAGCAACAGGAACAGCAGCCGCAGCAACAGCAACAAAAGAAGCCGCAGCAACAGCAGCAGCAGCAGCAACAGCAGGAATATGAGAAAAAGCAGTAAATCAGGGCGAGTGATGTGCCGCAGCAGCAGCACAAACGACTATCTGCCCGAGCTGAACGTAGCACTTAGCCCCTGCCGCAGCAGCAGCAGCAGCAGCAGCAGTGTGGCAGGCGGGAGACGCAGGATGAGCGGCTTCAGAGGTCGCTAACCCGAGAGAAATAAGAGAAAGAGGAGGAGAGAGAGACAGCGCCGCAGCAGCAGCTGCTGCTGCTGCAGCTGCTGCAAGGGCCTTAAGGGGGTAGGGTAATGGACGCAGGGGCAGGGCTTATATGGGAGGTTCGGGCCTCTGCATGCAGCAGCAGCAACAGCAGCAGCAAGGCGAGCAGGTATGACGACGGTTGAAGCTGGCTATGCTGCCAGGTCTGTAGCAGCAGCAGCAACAGCAGCAGCTGCTGCTGTTGCTGCTGCAGCAGAAAGGGCGTTGGCAGCAGAACAATAATGGCTGGTTTATCGGGAGATGGAGAATGACTTCTCAGCTGTAGGCAGGAGGAGAAGTGGTGCAGCAGCTAATGCAGCAGCAGCTAGGGCAGCAGCAGCTAGTGCAGCAGCAGCAGCAGCAGCAGCAGCAGCAGCAGCATGTGCTGCTTCAGGCGCAGCAGTGCGGCTAGTGTTGCTGCTGTGGTTGCCTTCCTTGGTGGTTTTAAGTTTTCTTGGGCCTGATTAGTAATGTGAGGGCGTTGTCTCGTTCATTCTCCGGCATATCTAGCTAGCTAGCTAGCCAGATAGCTAGCTAGCTAGCTAGCCAGCTAGCCATTCCGGTGTGGCTAGCTAGCCATTCAGCTAGCGGATGTTTAAGGGTCTTTCAGTATGTTGGGATAAATTGCAGTTGGTTGTTGTTTATAATTTTCGTTTGGCGCAGTTTTTCTTTGCTTTGTCTCCCTCTCTGTCTCCTCTGAAGTCTCTTGTATCATCTGCCTGTCTCTAATAAAGGTGTTTTGTGTCTGTGTCTGCTGTCTCTTAGAGGCTGCAAGGCCAGCCCTCTGTCTCTAGACGAGACAGAAAGCTGCTGCATGCATGCGAGCAAAAAAAGAGGAGACAGCAGACGTTAGAGTACTGGCGAATGCTGCTGCAGGCAGAAGAATGACAGAGAGAGAGACAGCGCATGGGGCTGGCTCTCTTCCCGAACTGTCTCCTTTTAAGAGACGGAGTGTCTCCTCGCTGTCTACTTTCTGCCGACACCGTGCCCCTACCCTCTTACTATATATAATCTCCTCTCTGGAGAGAGGGGGCCTCTGTCTGCCTCCTTACAGTATTGTCTCTCTTTAAAAGGAGACAGGGTGTCTCTTCACTGTCTCCTTTTATTAAGAGGCGAGGTGTCTCCTCACTGTCTCCTTTTATTAAGAGACGGGGTGTCTCCTCCCACCTTAGGGGCAAAGTAGCAGAGCCCTAAAGGAGACAAAAACCCGCTGGAGACAGAGAGAGAGAGACAGAGGGACAGGCGCAGACACATAACCAAAAACAGTTAAAAGAACATGCATACTATGCATGCAGACAAGGAGACAGACCCAATATGCATGCAGACAGGGGGACAGACACATTATGCATGCAGACAAGGAGACAGAGACTGAGGAGGCAGACACACTATGCATGCAGACGGGCAAAGAGACACTATGCATGCAGATGGGCAGACAGAGACTAAGGAGACAGACACACCATGCATCTAGACAAGGAGACAGACACTATGCATGCCGACGGGGAGACAACTAAAGACTAAAGAGACAGACACACTCTGCATGCAGACAGGGGGGCAGAGACACTATGCATGCAGGCAAGGATACAGTGACACTGCGCATGCAGAAAGGGAGACAGAGACAGAGGCAGGTACAGACACATACACCAGGAGAGACAGACACACCAGATAAGCAGATGAGGAGACAGAGGCAACAATAGCAAGCGGAGACAGAGGGGGCCCAACTGGGGGATAAGAGACAGGGCCGGGTGAGGAGACAGACAGACAGAGACAACGAAAAGAAGGGCAACGGAAGCAGACAAGAAACCGGCGGCTTGGGGAGGAGGGCAGCTAGCTGCAGTGAGGGGTTAGCTAGCTAGCTAGCTGTGTAGCTAGCTACCTAGCTAGCCAAACAGCTCTATAGGGAAAGGGAGACAATCTTATGTCTCCCTGTAGACATCTAAGTAAGACAGTGTGGGGTCTCGCTATTTTACATTATTAGCAGCACAACTGCTGCTGTCTGCTACGGAGACAGGAGCTAGAGGGAGACAGACACAAGGAGACAAAAGGAGACAGAGAGAGACAAAGGGAGATAGACTGAGACAGACAAAAGGAGACAGAAGGAGACAGACAGAGACGAACAAAGACAGAGAGAGACAAAAGGAGGCAGAGACAGACAGCGGGAGACAAAGGGGGAGAGACAAAGACAGAGGGAGCCAAAAGGAGACAGACAGAGGGAGACAGAGAGAGACAGACACAGACAGACAGAGGGAGACAACAGGAGACAGAGGGATAAAGGCATAAGAGACACCCAATCAAAAACCTAGTTGCCAGGAGAGGCAGAAACGAACAAAAAGAAGACGCATCGTTTAGAAAGAGCAGCAGCTCCTCCCTCAGGGACGCGCTAGCTAGCTGACTAGCCAGCTAGCTAGCCCCCTAAGGAGACACCTCATCGCTAGTTAGCTGTGTAGGCTGAGCTGCAGAGGCAACCAGCAAATGCCTCCTGTGGGCACGGCGAAGCTTCAGGCGCTAGCCGAAGCTCCGTCCCTAGGCAGCTAGCCGGCTAGCTAGCTGGCTAGCTAGCTCGCTAGCTATCTATTTATCTACCTATCTTATCTAGCTAGCTAGCTAGCTAGCTAGCTAGTTAGCTGTTAACAGCCAGGGCCCATCCAATTGCCTAAAGAGCAAGGACGCTGCTTCACTCGGGACCTCGCTGGAGGCAAGAAGGGATACAGTATCATCTCCTCTGGGCGCTCCTGCGTTGCTGCTACGGGGGGAGGCCCCCGCAGCAGCAGCTGCTGCTGCAGCTGCTGTTGCATGCAGGCAGGCGACTGTACCCACACAGACCAGTCCTGCTGCTGCTGTTGCTGCTGCAGCAGCAAAAGCTGCTGCTGCTGCTGCGATAATTGCGATGCTGTTTCCGGGTGCGGGGTAACTACTGTCTGAAGTTGCCTTCGCTGGGTCTGTAAAAAGAGGAGCTGCTGCTGCTGCTGCTGCTGCTGTTGCTGCTGCTGCTGCTGGTGGAGATCCTGCGGGCCCTGTACATACACTGGTGCGGGAGGCGCGAGAGGCTGAATAAATCTCTGCCCTTCTTGCTGCTGCTGATGTTGCAGTGCCAGATGATGCTGCTGCAGTTGCTGCTGTTGCAGGTCCTGCTGCTGCTGGTGTCTCAGCTGTATCTGCAGGTCCTGCTGCATTCCTTGTTGATGCTGTTGAAGCAGTCGCTGTTGCTCCAGCTCCTGCTGCTGCTGCTTCTGCTTCTGCTGCTGAAGCGCAGCCCGTCTGACCCTTGTAGCAAAAGACTCTGCTGGTGATACAGCAGACGACGCTGCAGCAGTAGCAGCAGCAGCACTAGCGTCTGGTGGAGCTAGTGCTGCTGCTGCTGCTGCTCCTGAGATGCTCCTTGGGGGGCTCTCTCTTACAAGGGCCCCCCACGGGCTTGCAGTCTCCTCTGCTGCCTCTTCGGTTGCGTTGCTGTTGTCCCTGGGCCAGCTGTATCTGAGCTGCTGTTGAAGTTGCTGGTGCTTCTGCTGCTGCTGCTCTTGCTGCTGCTGCTCTTGCTGCTGTCCCTCCTGCTGCAGCGCCTGCTCCACAACAGAGCTTCGTTGTCTTCTAAGTTTGCTGTTAGCTGGTCTGTAGGGTCTCCCCTGGGGCCCTGGCGATAGCAGGAGATCAGCAGTCTTCAGAGGGGGCCCCTTGGGGGCCCCCTGGGGGCCCCTCGGAGACACTTGGTATGCGACAGGAGAAAACTGTGGGGCGAGGGCCCCACACCCGTGGGGCGAGGCTGGGATCGATCGATCCCCAGCAGCCGGCAGGCAATCACTCGCCTCTCGGCAGGGCCCCCACAGGCCCTTCTCTTTCTCTTCAGGGGGCCCCTCAGGAATAGAGGGGCCCCCCCGTGGGGAATGAAGGGCCTCAGCCGTCTCTAGGGGGCCCCCCGAAGACAGGTAGCGACAGCCTCCTGTCTCTGCTGCTGGTACACGAAGCGCAGCAGCAACCGCAGCAGCCGAAGCCTCCGCAGCAGCAACAGCAGCAGCATTAGAATCAGCAGGTGCAGCAGCAGGAGCAGCAGCAAGAAGCGCCGCTGAGTCTCTGTCTGCCTTCAGGCCCTCCTCCCCCAGTTGTCTCTGGGGCCCCTCTGGGGCTGGGGGGCCCCCCATTAGGTGTACTTGTTCCTGTGAAGATTCTCGCTCAAGATATATGCTGCCGCCTAACAAGCCGCTGCTTTGTGCAGACAGCAAGACAGGGGCCCCTTCTTCTTCGCTGTCAGACCAGCTGAAGCTAGGGCTGCTGCTTCTTGTCTCTCCCCACTCTGTCTCCTGCTGCTGCGTCTCCTGAGGTGCCTGTACACCGCGCACGTGCTGCTGCACTGAAGACCCTTTAATATACAAAGAGCCTTCTTCACAGGGGGCCCCCATCTCCTCAGAAGAAGAGACAACCGCAGCTTCCTCTAGGGGCCCCTGTCTCCCTCGGGCATTCATTGTAGCGGGGCTTGCTGCTGCTGCTTCTCTATATCCAGGTAAAGGAGCATTAAGAGCATCTCTTACTGAAGCGAGAGACACAGAAGGGGGGCCCCTCTGGGGTTTACTTGGGCGGCTCTCCTCATACTCTTTTGAAGCCCCTTGGCGGGCCCTGTCGATGTGCTCATCATCTTCCTGAATAGGGGGGGGCCCCCCCCCACACAGGGGCCCCCCTCCACCTGTCTCTGCAGCAACAGGGAGGGCCCTTAACTCTGCCTTTGCTCTTAGAAGCCACTCTAATAAATGAGGTTCTTGCTTATGCTTCGCAGGCTCATCTACGTCGCGCTGACGCCCTGGGGGGGGCCCCGGAAGAGAGCGAGGAGGGTGGGTAAAGGGGTAAGGATACTGCAGCGGCTGTTCATGCCCCGCCATCAGCTTGGGGGGCCCCCTATACACTGTAAATAAAGCAGGGGGCCCTAAGATAATCAAATACACTGCAGCAATAAGGCAGTGTCTCTACAGCCAACACGTACACACACAAGGGGCCGCAGCAAAACCTCCTTAAACCACTCATCTCAACCTCCCTCCCTTCTTCAAATGCTGCTTTAGCTCTTCAGCTAATGCAATAAATGCTGCTGTTCCTGTTTCTGTTGCTGCTGCTGTTGCTGTTGCTGCTGTTGTTGCTGCTGCGCGTAAGGGTTAACGGTAACCGGCGAAGAGACCGCGGAGACTGGAGCGCTGGAGGGCCCTCACGTGTCTCCTCAGAGACGATATAAAGAGCCTCAGCAGCAAGATATAACAACAAGCCAATAAGGAGACAGATAAAGCAGTAGGGGCCCCCCACGAGAAGGGTAGAAGGGGCCCCTACAAGGGAGAAGAAAGGAGGGGATCGACTGCGGTGGAGGAGACCCCAGGAAGCAAAGATGAAAGGACGCAGAAGGTGTGTGTATGAAATACACACAAAGGAGACAGAGAGGGGCCCCCCTATACAAAAGAAGCAGAGCAGCGTCTCTAAGCTGACGGGGGCCCCTCTGATTGGGGGCCTCCAGGCCTTCTCCTCTGAAGAAACGAAGAGATAGGGTCTTCAGTGAGCCCTTAAGGAAGTCAAAGAGGGAGACTGTCTCCACAAATACACCAAGAAGAAGCAGTAAAAGGTGTTGTTGAGCCTTAAAGCCCTTCCTAGCCCTGTCGGTGGCTATGGGGCGCAGGCTGCATTTAAAAGGGCTCGTTTAGGCGGGAAAAGGTGTTTATTGAGGTGTATGGTGAGGTAAAAAGCAAAGAAGAGGGCCTTAAATCACCCCTGTAAAACACAAGAAAGGAGAATGCTGGGCTGCAGGGCTCAGCCACCGCCGCCTCAGCAGCAGCAGGGCGAGCCCTCGCTGCAGCAGAGATATATATGGGGCTGGTATATTAATTGTTTTTAATTTTAATCATTTATTTATATTATATCTGCATAAGTCTCCCTTTTTATTCAAAGAAAAACGAAAAAAATTAAATATTACAACCAACAACACCCACACAGCCTCCTCAACAGACTCAGCCGAGACTCGCCGCTGTATCCCTGCAGAGCCAGCTTATTATAAGGCCCCCTAATAGCATTTATTCTTTTTAAAAAGTAATTATTTCTTTTATTTTAATATTTATCTTGTTAATTTTAAGGGTATTTTAAGCGGAAGCAAACAAATACCCATACAACAACACCCTCTAGCTGCTGCCTTAAGAAGCAGAGGAGACAGAGCAGAGTCACTCCTTACCTCCCCCCATCTTAGTCTTCATAATTTTCATTGTTTTCTTTGAAGTTAATACAATAAAACAATGAAATAACTCTTTATTATTCGTTTTATATGCCTTTCTGCACTAACACATCCCAGCTGTACGTACATGCATACACCCTCCTTACACCTGCAGGGAAAACCCTCAAGCTACAAGGCAAAAAGAGAGCCCTCATTGTTAGCAAAAGAAAGTTTGTTCACTACAGTGAAGGTCCTTTAAAAAATAATTAATTAAAAGCAGCATCACTCCCTCCCTTATCTAAGCCTCCTGCACTAGCCAGGCGGCTGCGCGGTGATATTTCTTCACTTGTTCGATGCAGAGAGCCTTAATGCAGCCCCTGCTATCAATTACAAGGTAACAACGCATGCAGATACACCCCATCTACTTTATATGAAATCAGCAACATTGAAGGCAATCGGTATACACGTACTTCGCCAGTGGTGGCCAGCTGGCAAGCAAATAGAATATATATATATATA